CCTCAAATCAGGGACTGGCAGGGAGAGGAACCTTAATACTTTTCCATCTTGCAACATACTTTTGGAGAAATAACAGACCAAACCAGAATATAACTCTGTGGCAAAAATTTTCCTAACAGAACATTTGTTAAACGTGGCTCAGCAATTCACGAAGTGTGTCAGACACACCCTAAGAAATCAAAACTGACAAATGGCAACAGAAAACTCCAGAATTCTGGCACCCTCCATCTGATGACAAGTGGCCCTATCTGTGTTGAAAGCTACCAAGAGGTATGGAGGCAGTCTGTGGTTAGCAATCCTTGATGTTGTAACACGGAAGCATTCTTCTCTGTCTTTCAAAATTCTCAAAATGAGTGGTAGTGTGCAAGCAGTGTTTTAAAATTCCATAGTCATAAATGACATGAAAGTGAGGGGAGCATGAAATATGAATCAGTCAGAAAAAAGTAATATAATCTCTAAAACATTGGGAGTCACTGACCTACATGGTGTAGTTTTGACTCTTAAGATCATAATGTCCACCAAGAAGAAAAGACTCTGAAAGATAAATCTTCTAACTTTTTAAAAGATGTACAGTTGTCAAAACAAAAATTATCTCAGTAGAATTCCACGAGCTGTTGTATTATTATACTATCTAAAATCACAAGTCTGAAAGCCATCTCTTTGGATTCTTATCCTATCCTATGAATAATGCATTCGAAAAAATATATGGGCAGCATTCAATGCAGAATTGATGTGGACTTCCCAGGAAGCTGAAACATCTCAGGTTGAGCCCCATCAGTGGAAAACAACTGCTTCCCAACTCTTCCCCAGTCGTGGAGGGTTTAAATGTCTGTGACAAGGACATTTTATAGACTCTAACCAGCGTAAATGCAAAAACACTGCTACCTAATTGGTATTAAGTCTAAAAACAAATTCAAGTATACAATGGCCTAAGACATTATAATTTATAATCAATGAATATCTTCCTTCCTGCCAAAACACTTCACAGGTCCTGAACACACCCTCCAATACTCCTGATTCAAGTGCCTGAAAGGTCTAGCTACTAGCCACCTCAAATGCAGACTGAGCAGGTATCCTAGTTTTGAATAATTTAAGAAAGCTAAGTTTCCAGTCATAAATTAGCTTCCACAATGTTCCTACAAAAAAAAAAAAAAAGCGAGCCAACAGAATGTTCTATCCACCTCTCTTTAGATAGACTTGAAAAAAATAAAAATGACCATGTCAACCAAGACCTAATAAGGACATGCAGGATTATGAGTTGAGCAATATTTGCCGAGCCACTGTTGTGTATGAATACTAGGCCCATTACTGGCCATGACAGATGATTGGAAAACTTGTCCTGTGTTCACAGGAAGACAGGACAATGAAGGGCAGATGGGACTAAGCGCCGCCGCCGGGATGTGGAGCACAGGGAAGTGCTTTGAGTGCATAAAAATTAATATCTACTGTGAAAGAGGTGGCAACTGACTGGAGTGGGACTTCAAAAGGCAGGGAAGAAAAGGGACAGTGTGACCAAGCAGAAAAGCAATGTACAAGAAGTTACGAAAGTATCTTAGATTATTAGAGGTGCTAACTGACCGGCGTTGACTGACAGCAGACACTAGATGGACATAAGTTCAACAAAAATAAACCAAAGACATAAACTTTATAACACAGGTAACTGGGAGCAGGGGGCCATCATCTAACCTTGATCAATCTAGATACCTTCTAATGACGCTGGGAACCTGAGTGGACCAAGAAACAGTCACCATTACTCAATAAAATCTCAGGAGTAATGGGCCATTAAAAGAACATTGAAAAGAACAAGGCCTAATACTGGGATTGGAGAGAAGGAAAGCCATATAATCACAGTCTTCGTGAACTTTTATTATTTTGTGTGGACAATATGTGCATGTTCATATACATATGTGTTGTTTACATGCACGTGTGAGTGTGTGCCTGTTGGTGCACATGGGAAGAGGCCATGTGCGGTGACCAAGGGTCAGCATCAGGTGTCTTTCTCCACTGCTCTCCACCTTACTTTTCTTGAGACAGGGCCTCGCACTAAACCTGGAACTGCCGTTTGGCTAGACTGATTTGCCAGTAACCCTCCAGGATATACCTATCTCCACCCTTCCCCTCCAGTGCTGGAGATGCATGCGCATGTCACCACACCGGGTTTGTGTGCCAGTGCCCAGAATCCAAACTTGGGTCCTCACGCTTGCATGGTAGACATTTCACCTGCTAAGCGATCTCCACAGCCCTGATCATGAATTTTTAATTGGGTTATCACCAGGAATGGTTCTCAATGTGAAAGAGGTCATTTCTGCCACAGTAAACCTAGCAGAGGCTAGACAGGGAGCTTGGTCACTTTCTCCTGTGCATTCAGCACCACTGAGACTGTAAGAAGCCTATCCTGAAGCTACTAGCATTAAAGTAAAATTCTCCCCTTTAGCCCATCACCCGACCCAGTAGAGGCTGCAGCACAATTACCTCATTCCACATACAATCTGTACTAATTAAGTGCTCTCTCTCTCTCTCTCTCTCTCTCTCTCTCTCTCTCTCTCTCTCTCTCTCTCTCTCTGTGCCTCTGTCTCTCTCTCTCTGTCTCTCTGTCTCTCCCTCTCCCTCCCTCTCTCCCTCCCTCCCTCCTCCTCAGGATTTAAACCATCCGGCTCTGTGAGGGACAATGTGCTGACCACAAACTTCCTGCAAGTTTAACACAAAGATCATGGCTTCAGAAATGCAACAAGAAATACAGTGAAATGGGATGGCAACACCTCTTTAGACAGTCTTCAAGATTACCACACAATTGACCTTCTACTACAATACACTGAGTGGAAACTACTTGCAAATAAATAAACAACAGCCATCTAGAATCTTGTAAATCCAGCACTTAGGAAACTTAAGCAGGAGGATCACAAGTTCAAGGCCCATCTGGGCTATATAGTAAGATCCTGTCTCAAAGCAAGCTGCACAGGTAGGCCCAAAGCTCGGTATATTTACCTAAGAGAGCTTGAGTTGTATCACTCATAGTTTTATAATCAATAACATAGCTATACACTATGTCAAAATTACTGCCATTTCTTTATTAGGAGTTTGAGTTGATTAATACTAGCTAGCTTTCTGTCCTAATCATTTACTCAATGAGCAAATGTTTTAGCACCATCTACTGGCCACTTGTTACATACTCATCAGCTCCTTAGGTGCTCCTAAGACAGGTGACGGCTACAGCATGGATCGCCTAACTTCTTCGGAGTCACTGTCACAAAAGGGGGATCCTAGGGTGCTCTCCTGACACTGCTTGTGTGTCGTTTCCATCCTAGCTAGCAGATCCTACAAATACTGTACTGGATGGCTTTCAATATGTATCCATGACAAATTCTCAAACATAAGCCTCATTTCTATACTCAGAGACATGCCCATGGGCGGAGCCCACATCACCCTCCTGCCTACCTGCTTCATCTAACAGCACTCTAGTGGAATGATGGCATCTGGAGAAACCAGCTCACCTAGCATTTGTATAAAAAGAAGTCATTATAATAATAATAGTAGTAGTAGTAATAGTAATATAATAGCAATAATAAAGGAATTTTGGCTTGAGACAAGAACAGAATTTCCATCAATGACCCTAAACAAAATTTTGCCATTTTCTACTATGTACTAAGTATGCAAATCAGTATTCTCAAAATTGATGATTATAAAATGAAAATATCAATCAACTCTGAAAAACTATTGAAAACTATCTAGGTTCTGTAGTATGGAATGTTCAGCCCAAATATTCTTTATGTAAAACAAACAAGCATATTTGTTTCCTTAGTATGCAAATCTACTTGCATCTTAATAAATGCTAAAATACATATATACTAAAAATTGCTTTAAAATAAAATTCTTTCTGCTCTATTACCACTAAATGTCTGATTCATATACCTATATACCTAGGTTCATGTAAAAATTTCTCAGGCAAAAGAGTCATGAGGAGGAAAATGTAAGTTTTGATATAAAGAAGAGGGAGGCTCCCTGAGTAGAATCAAATACTAGCAACTATGGACTCTAAGCTCTTTTTGTCTGACTCATTTTCTTTCAGGAAGCAGAAAGAAATTAAAGGCAACATGGTAGTCATTGTTCAACAGCAGAAACAAAGGATGGGGAAAGAGGTAAGAGAACACAAGATGGAGACTATCTTCTTCACTCTACAATTTACCCATACCAAACTACTGTTTACCCACCAATTAATGTGTATTGGTTTGACATTATGAACTTAGCACAAGTATTATATAGAAAATAGTAAGATCTGAAAGCAACCCCTGCCGTCACAGATCTCACAATCTGGTTGAACAGAACAAACACACAGTGGCTAAGAGCACTTACTGCTCTTGGCAGAGGACCAGCACCCACATCAGGTACCTCACAACTGCCCCTAACTCAGCTCCAAGGAATCTGCTGCCCTCTGCTGGCTTGTATGCACTACACTTGTGTGGCACACACACACACACACACACACACACACACACACAGGGACACGTGCACATAGACGCAAATAAACATGATAAATCTTTCCACAAAAACATGGCAAAGGAAATAATAAGGAAAAAAGTGCCATATTCTTAAATAAAAGCATCTCCTGGAAATCCCATAAATACATACACATACACATAAACACCTTCTCATATGGAAACATTATCATCAAAATATTAGTCATGATGATCTCTGACGGAATTTCTGACTTGTTTTTAATTCTTTAGATGTTTCAGTGCTTTCCAACAATGAAAACATAGTGTCTTGAAGAGAGCAGAAACAAATTAGCACTTTATCAGAAACTTAGTAAAGACAACACTTAATAGAAAGTTGCACATAGAAAATAACCTATGATATAAACACGGTTACATGAAAATACACTGAAAGAATGCGATGTTATTAATGACTTCTGTGCAATAGGGTCTACAGAGACTTTTGTCATGTGCTTTTTCACTTTCCTAGTACACACACACACCTCACTTAAAGAAAAGAAATTTAAACAAGTACAATGGTGTGTGAATTTCTTCAAACTGAAATCACTATGGAGAGTGAAATCCAGCCTTTAAACCCTGAGTCACAGACAGCTTCTATAACTGCTTTTTTGTGAATATAGCAGCCCAAGCACTCAAGCAAAGTAGTTGCGAGTTCCAGGGAGCAATACAGTCACCACCTTGGCGAACAAGAAAGCTCAGCTGGTGGCAAATGCTCACAACACAGACCCCGTTGGGCTGGTGGTCTTCCTGCCTGTCCTGTGTTGTAAGATGCTGGTCCCCTACTGCTGCATCATCAAAGGAAAGGCCAGGCTGGGGCAGCTGGTCCACAAGAAAACATGCTCCACCACGGCCTTCACACAGGTTAACCCGGAAGACAAGGGTGCTCAAGCTAGGCTGGTGGGAGCTATTAGGACCAATTACAATGACAGATAAGATGAGATCCGTTGCCACTGTGAAGATATATCATTGTCAATAGTTTAGTAAAAAGATGAATGGTCAATAGCTAGGCAGGAGAGACTAGTCAGGACTTGGGGCAAAGAGGACTCTGGGAAGAAGAAAGGCAAGATACCAGCGAGACTCTGAGAAAGTTGGACAAACAGTACAGAGCAGAGCCACATGCCAGAATGTAGATTAATAAGGACAGGTTGTAAGAACTAGCTGGGGAAAAGCCGAAGCTAAGGCCAAGCTTTCGTAATTAATAAAAATTCTCCGTGTCATTATTTGCAGGTTGGCAGTCCCCTCGAGAAATTACTACTGCAGGTGCTAAATCTGTGACTCTCATTGCAAAGCTGGAAAAGGCAAAGGCTAAAGAACCTGTCACTAAAACGGGTTAAAAGTCCACAGCTAAGTTTTCTGTACATAAGTATAATTACAAAATTATCTTCCATGTGTTTCATCAACTTGATACAAGCTGGTGTCATCTGAGAAGCGGGAACCACGATTGAGAAGATGCCTCCGTAAGACTGTGCTACAGGAGAGACGGGAGCATTGTCTTAGTGAGTGGTGTGGGGAGGGCCCAGCTGATTGTGGGTGGTGCTACCCCTGAGAAGGAGGTCCTGTGTTGCAGACTGAGCAGTCTTGAGGAACGAGCCGGTATGCAGAACTCCTCAGTGGCCTCTGGTTCAGTGCCTGCCTCCAGGTTTCTGCCCTGACTTCATTCAATCAGTGATGTCACCTGAGAACTGTAAGCTGAAATGAACCCTTTCCTCCCCAAGTTGCTTTTGGCCATGGTGTTTTATCAGAGCAACCAAAAACCTAACAACCCTCATCTTACATTTCGAATTATCATTTGTAAATGCACCTTAAAGACAACCATTTTCCCAGTAGCATACCTGGAATCAGCGCTGTACTGATAAGGATGTCCACCTCCTTGCATTGCTGAGCGAAGAGCTTCATCTCAGCATCAATGAACTCTTTGGACATTTCTTTCGCATACCCTCCTTGGCCCTCGCCTGATTCCTTCAAGTCCACCTCCAAGGGTTCAGCACCAAGAGACTTGAACTGTTCCAAAGCTGCAGCTCTGGAGTGTTGAAGGGAAAACAGTACATAATTAGACCCCTGATAAATACATCAAAATCCTCACTTACATATCCACTTTTTTTGGGGGGGGAGGGTTCCAAGACAGGGTTTCTCTGTGTAACAGCCCTAGCTATCCTGGAACTCACTCTGTAGACCAGGCTGGCCTTGAACTCACAGAGACCCACCTGCCTCTGCTTCCCAAGGGCTGGGATTAAAGGCCTGTGCCACTACCACCAGGCTTTCAGTCAGGGTTGTCAACCTTCCTAAAGCTGCAACCCTCAAATACAGTTCCTCATGTAGTGTCTCATAACCATAATATTATTTCATTGCTACTTCATAACTTTAATTTTGCTACTGTTATGAAACATAAGGTAAATTTTTTGGAGGGAATAGAGGCTTGCCAAGGGGTTTGCAACCCACAGATTGAAAACCACTGCTTTAAGTAAACCCTACAGAGTCAAAAACCGCAAAGTTTATTTTGTTATCTCTGGCTTGACTGCTTCAGTGATTTTTTAGACTTAGGCAATTCTTACATACTCTTTCTTAAGGGAATAAAGAAGAATCCCAACTTCTATTAAAGAAGAATGTTACTACTGCCATATCAGTTATGGTCCCAATATTGATAATGATATGATATTTGATATACATTGAGATTTGATATCACTCACATCATACACATTGAGGTTTTACTTTTACAAATGCCCTGAGTTTGTTCTCATTGTAACGTTTTCCACATAAATGACTTTTATCAGAAATGCTTTACAATTTAAACAAAGTGATTTGGGAGCTTCGGTCCTCATAAATTGGTAAACTGGTTTTTAAAAAACAAATGGATGTAGTGACACATGCCTGCAATCCCAGAATTAGAAGGTAGAGGCGCAGGAGGAGGACTAGGACCTCAAAGAAAGTCTAAACCATGAGACAATGTCTCAAAAGAAAACTGTAAATGAATAAATGGTAAAATGTGAAGAGCCAACATATTTAAATTATGAAAATATATTCAATTTAAAATAAATAAGTGGCATGCAATCACTATTTTCTAGTTGGAAAATGAAAGCCAGTAAAGGTTTCAGTGGTGGAAATCACTAACATCTCTGCTACTACAATAAATTCCACACCTCCTTAATAACAGCAAATATAGTCATCAAATATTTTACATAAAGAAAGATATTAACCAGGTGTGCTGTTTTGAAGGAAAGTCTCCCACAACACTCAGCTTCCTCCTCCAGCCACCATGCCACCGATCTGCCTTACAGCACTCTTATCCCTGTGGAATCATCAGCCAAATACACCCTGTATTTGGTCATGGTGTTTTATCACAACAGCAGAAAAATACCTGATCCACTAGAGCTAGTGTGCACACCTATAGCAGGGCTGATGTACAATGAACTCACAGAGGTTGTGATGGCATGCTCAGGGCCTACAGCAGTTCCAAACAAGACAGGGTCCCAGCACTGAGATGGAGAAGTAGACAAAAGCTCTCATCTCCAACCAAGAAGTTATCTCTAACTAACAAACTCTCATAGTGAAGCCTCCCTGGGTATACAAACCACACTTAAGGGTATGGCCTATGCCTAGTAATAGATGCCAAAAACAAGATGAACTCAATGATATTTTTGCTCATATTGTTTTTTTGTTTGGGCATTTTCTACCTTACTAGTCTTCTGCTTTTGTATTATGGTTTCTGATTTTGTGTTTTTATGGGGGGGTGTATTTTTCATGCTCTTTCTGTTTTTTTATTAGTTTTGTTTGTGTGTGGAGAGTTGTTCATTTTGTTTTATTCTTGTTTGTTTGTCATTTTTGATTTGCCTGTTTGTTTTCCTGAGAGAAAAAGAAAAAAAAAGGCATGAAGTTGGAAGGATGGGAAGGTGGAGAGGATCCAAAAATAGTTGAAGCAGGGGATATGTTGTATGAAAAAAATCATTCTCAATTAAAAAATGAAATCGAAAAGTCTGCAGGAAAATGGACTTGGAACGTATAATATTAAATAAGGAAAGTTAAACCCACAAATAAAAAATAATAATAACCTTGTGTTCTCCCTCACATTCAGACCCTAGCCTGTAATGTATACATGAATGTGAATGTATGTATGCAAATGTATGTACATGTGGGTACAGAATAATTTAGAGAGGAGAACAAGAACGGACAATATTAGGCGATGCAGGCAAAGGACACATGAGTCACAATAACTATTCTTCTAGGCTTAACTCAGTCATGGTATTTTTTATGATGCACCAGAAAAATGTAATTGATAATAAAACTATAAACCCACAACTTCAGAATGGCCATTCCAACTGTATAGAAATTCAATGAGATGGATGGAGTTTGGGACTGGGCAAGGGTTTGCTTGGGTACCTACATTAAGCTAGCTGCATGATGTTTTTATTACATTACAATGTAATCTGTAACATTATGGTGGTTTTTATATTAAGTAAATATATTACAAATAAAAGTAGAATCTTAGTTACTTTTCAATTGCTGTGACAAAGCACTACAACCAAGGCAACTTAGAAAGCATCTAATCTGGAGCTCACAGTTGCAGAGGGTTAGAGTCCACAACCGACATTGTGGGAAACATGGCAGCAGGCAGGCAGGCTTGACACTGGAGCAGTGGCTGAGAGCTGGCCTCTCAATCCACAATCATGGGGCAGAGAGAATGTTAACTGGGAACTGTGTGGGCTTTTCAAACCTCAAAACATGCCAGAGGAACACATCTCCTCTAACAAAGCCACACCCCCTAATCCATCCCAAACATTTCCACCAGCTGGGGACCAAGTATTCAAACATATGAGCCTTGCAGGAAGCGGGGAGGGTCAGTCCCATTCAAACCACCACAACCAGACATACACAACAGCAGGACTCTAGCTGCCTATTCAGTTCACAATTTGAACAAGGACATCACTACATTAAATGCTCAGTAGCAAACCGGGCAAGTCTCAAGTCATCTCTAGGTCAACCTACCACTACTTTAATATCATTATCCATTATATTGAAAATGTAAACAATCCACTTTCCAAAGGCTTCAAGGTTTGGGGAAAGGTTTGGCTCCAAAACCACAGAGAAACCCTGCCCCGAAAAACCAAAAAGAAATAATAATAATAAAGGACAAAAGCAATGTCACTTTTGGCCCCAACTCTCCCTAGCTGATATCATGGCTATCCTGGAAATGCCTCATTTTCTCATTGAGATGAACTGGACTTTATAAGCACCTCACTTTTCTAAGGTCAGGAAAGGGCTGTTGGTCATATTCCATGAATGTTTAGAAGTCACAGTCTTGCCAACTTTTTTTTCTATACTCATAATTGGCAGTGGAAGGATATTGTTCAGTTGGCAGGGGATGCGCTGAGCATACAGATGGCCCTAGAATGGATCTCTGGCACTGGAAAATAAATAAGTAAGATTGGCAGTAGTGTTATTACTCTAGTGCCCTCGTTGATGATAAACACCTATGTGTTTTGAACTGCACCCCCAAAAATGAAACAACAAAATGATCATTGGACTTAATAAGCGTTTAATAAATGCTGGTATCTAGCATTATCAGCAATAAAGAAGAATTTTAATTAAACTTCCTTTTGCAAACAACCTAGGAAAATGTTTTATGGCTGTCTTAGAGAAATACAGTGTACACAGAAAAGTAGTTTCTCCCACATGTTCTATAATCTTCAGAATTGTCAGTTCACTCTATATATCCAAAGCAGATGCCTTAGCATCAATAGTACAATTAATAGTCCATGTGCTGCTATTCCTAGGTAAGAAGTGATTTGAAGGCCTTATATGTATATAGCTCAGTGATACAGCACTTACCAGCATGTTTGAGAACTGTGTACAATACCCAGTCTCATCAGACAAAAAAGCATTTGGAGATTGTCAGCAGTCAGTCCTAGCTGCTTCTATCCAGTTAATGCTTAGCATAGTCTCTTCTCGATGTACACAATGGCTTTGCTTATGCCCTCCCTAGTACCAAAAGTATTCTGAAGATAAAAAGGACACAGTAAAGCAACATGCTACAAGCACAGAGACAACTGTAGCCCCATTGTCAATCTACACAAGGAACAGTGGCCTATTAATTTTCAATTACTTTATTATTTCTGCTATGCTGAGGTTAAACTTGTCTCATTTTTCCCAGTAAACAATACATTTTTTATTGAGCCAACTTTTAAAAAGAAAAAAAAACATTTTTAATTGGAAAGAGAAAAATAAAAAAACTTCCGTGAGCTATTATTATCTCTAATGTAATGGGCCCCATTTGAAACAAGTGTTTTCAGTTAAACATTAATTACTAGTTAAGTGTTCACCTTGTATCAAATCCTCGGACAACTGCGCCCATTGACTTTGCTGCACCTGCAGAAGCGAGTCCAGCAACACCACCACCAACTATCAGGATCTGAGAAAAAAGAACAAGGAATGTTTTTTGTTCTGGTTTGGTTTGGGTTTTTTCTTGTTGTTGCTTGTCTGTTTTGCTTTGTTCTTTTCAAGACAGGGTTTCTCTATGTAGCTCTGACTGTTCCTGGATCTTGCTTTGTAAACCAGACTGGCCTCCAACTCACAGAGTTCCACCTGCCTCTGCCTCCCAAGTGCTGGGACTAAAGGTGTGCGCCACCAATGCCTGGCATGGAATGTTTTAAAGCTTGTTACCAGATGATGGCAAAAGATCACCGGCTGGCAACTCCTGGGGTCTGGCACATAGTTAGCACTCGATCAACAGTGGGAATGGCGGTGCGGATCGCCACATAGATGAAGCACAGGGTCTGGCCTTCAGCTGAATCATCAGTGTTTTTAAAACCAATCAGAGAAACAGCCTCTGCCAGTGACCAACAACTTTCCCTAAAAATCTGGCAGTCAGCATCCCAGAGCAGGAGCCATGCAAGCACATTCATTGCCCCACATGTCGAAGACTAACAAGCTCATTCTCACTGTACAGAAGCCACCACCAAAGCGCCAGTGGCACTCCAACTACCTGTCCCTCTCTCCAAAACCAAGACATTCCTGGGTTCATAAAACACAAAAAAAAAAGGCCGTGCAGTGGTAGCGCACGCCTTTAATCCCAGCACTCGGGAGGCAGAGGCAGGCGGATCTCTGAGTTCGAGGCCGGGCTGGACCGACAGCCTCCAAAACAATACAGAGAAACCCTGTCTCGTAAAACCAAAAAACAAACAAACAAACAAACAAAAACAAAAAAAGTGTCACAGATGGGCACAACTTTGACAAAACATCCATGCCAACTGATATTTTGAGCTCAAATGCTTCGGAAAACCTGGTAACCAAGTACCAAACTGAGACCGGTCTTGAGTGACTCACATCCGAAAACTGATGCAGTTTAAGTGAATCTCCCTAACCACAGGACAATCAGAGCTGAGACAACCCAAGAATCCCACAGAAACTCCAGCCTCCCCCGCCTGCACAGAAACACAGTGAGAACAGTGTAGCTTCTAGCCTTGAATGGGCTTTCCTGAGAAAACAACACTTGTTGTGTCTCCCATAAATGGCTCAATGAAGGCAACTCCTTGTTCCTGTAGGAACAAACAAATGTCACCCACAGAAATAGGGAAGTTTGTAAATTCTCACCCACCCATCAGGCCCAGGCTCCTCCTGCTTTTCTAACAAATCTACGCGGTCAAAACCGTATGCTCCAGTGTCCCCCTAGGCAGCGCCTCAGAAACCAGGCCAACGGATGTTGATGATGGTGGTTTGTTCAGAAGAGGACAAAGTTCACAGAAATTAGGTCCAGAAGGGACCTTGGCAAACAAACACCAGGGACTAAACTCCAAACCAACCCTGTTCTACACAAAAGTTCCAATAATGCTAATAACAACACCCAGTCTTAAAAACGTACAGGACTAGGCCAAATCTCCTGTCAAGAAATAGCACAGATACATAAAATCATTCTAATCATATTCTAAAGCAAGGAGGATTAGGAGTTGAAGGCCAACCTGAGCTATTAAAGCAAGAAGGATAAGGAGTTGAAAGCCAACCTGAACTACAGGGCAAGACAGTCTCTCAAAAACAGAGAAGAATGAAAAGGGCACATGATTACAGTTAGGAGGAAAAAAAAAAAAGAGTCAAGAGATCTGTTGTACACCAAGATAACTAATAGTTAGGCTAGGAAGACAGCTCATTGCTTGATGTACAAACACAAGGACCGGAGTTCAGATCCCCAGTTCCCACATAAAGAGCCAGGCACAGGGAGGCACATCTATCTGACCTGCAATAAGATAACCTGTAGGGACGGCCCTGATTCACCCAGCCAGACCTTGGTTTCCCACATCACCTTGGATCACCCTCCCCCTTGCTCATCATCACTCTACAGAGCCAATAGCCTTCTTTTCCTAGAACACACAAAACTGTTTTTCCATTTCAGTATTTTATATGCGATGTTACCTCTGGCCAGCATCTTAGATCCTTAGTTTCAGATGACAGGGAAGGCCTCCCCGTGGTGATATTTTGTTTATGATCTAACAAATAAAAAGCTTGCGTGAAGATCAGAGTGCAAAGCTAGCCACACTAGTTAGCCATAGATGCTAGGCACTGGGGGCACACACCTTTAATTCCAGCAGCCACACTAGTTAGTCACAGAGGCCAGGCAGTGGTGGCACACACCTTTAACTCCAGCACTTGGGAGACAGAAGTAGATGGATCTCTGTTAGTTCAAGGCCACCCTGAGCTACATGAGATTGAGTCAGTCTAAAAGAAAAACAGCTCACACAAAAGTGATCGCAGCACTTGGGATCCCACACCTTTAATCCCAACAATAGAGAGAAATATAAGGTGGGAGGAGACAGAAGCTCAGAGCAGTCTGAGGTCTGATGGACACATGCAATCTGAGGCAGTCTGAGGAGCAGTGCTGTCTGGAGATGGAATCTGAGGACAGGATTTCTCCTTTAGTCTGAGCATTGGTAGAGGTGATAGTCTCTAGTGGCTGGCTGCTTTGCTTCTCTGATCTTCAGCTTTAACCCCAATATCTATCTCTGGGTTTTTATCATTAAGAACAAGTAGAATTCATGTTACACCTTCCTATCCCATAGCTTAGGAGGTAGAACATTGTCATCGCACATCATCCTATCATCTAGTTCATTTTTTATAACTACATTTATGTCGTATATTTATCTGGGTTTTCCCATCCTCGTGACCCACACTGGAATGTAGTTTTTGTGCAGTAGGGGTGGTGTTTATGTTGTTCAGACTTGTCTCTCATTTTTAAACTGAGTACTCGACACATCGTATGCATTTCAATGATTTTACTTCATTCTAGACAAGTTTAAAAACAATTTTTAAATATTCTACATGATAAGCCTCAACGGATCTAATTCTTCAATTTTAAAGAATTGTTTCTCATATCAAGTCAAAGCTACTTAAGCTGAATTTACTTCTTAGTGACATGTTTATTTATTAGTGTGCAAGGGGGAGGGGAGGGGAGATCACGCCACGGCACACTGGTGGAGGTCAGGGGACAGCTCACAGGTGTTGGTTTTTTCATTCTACCACTTGGTCCCAGGAACTGAACTCAGGTCATCCGACTTGCAGGCAGAAGCCTTCACCCCTGGGCTACTGAATTCTAACACTAGGAGACAGTCACCTTTCCACCTTTTACTAATTCACTGGCTTTCCTGTTCAGTCTCTTGGGTTTTGTCTCACAGTTTTAATCCCCTATTAGAAGTTACCTCTAAACATCCACACCTTTCTACAAAGATCCTAATCAAACCAAGTTGTTGGCTCACACAGCGACACATTGAGCCAGCTTAGGAACGGCATCAAGTTTCTGGCCAGTTTGCATGCCAGACATTTCCTCGTGATCTTATGCAGTAAGATGAACTTTCATATGTCAGACATATGCAGTATAGAGTCTCGTGTACCAGGCATCTATGGAGTTCACGTATGCATTCTTGCTTGCTAAACACCAGGCCTTCGTTTAAAGGACTTGCTTCCCGCCCGCCTTGGCCTGCTTTTATTTTTTCCTTCATAAACTTTATACCACCTCCTGTTACTTCCTGTCCTCTTGCCAAACCTCCCCATAAACAGACAAGGGTGAAGAAATCAAAGTGTTTCCTACAAGCTATGATGTTTCAGGAATCAAGAATCCCAGATTTACTGAAAAATACCTCGAAGCATTTTAAAAAATAATAGTAAATTGGCCCACAGATCAACCCAGACAAAATCCATTTAAGAACTGAAATAAGTCAAAAAAATGAAAAAAAAAAAAAGACACCGGGAGTTGGTGCACGCGGGAGGCAGCAGCAGGTGGATCTCTGTGAGTTCCAGGCCAGCCTGGTCTACAGAGCAAGTTCCAGGACAGGCTCTAAAACAATACGGAGAAACCCTGTCTCAAAAAAAAAAACAAAAACAAAAACAAAAAAAAAAATACTAGACCCAAGCCAAAAGTTTCTTTCTCAGGCAGTATTAAATGTTCAACACTAATGCTTTACTAAGTACAAAAGCATTAGTGAAGCTAGCACACAGCAACGTCTTTAAAGATAATTATTTTATGACACATTTGATTCATCTCTTGAATAAACACTGGAAGTTGTACATACCTTAGCTGGGGGTACTTTTCCAGCAGCTGTGATCTGACCAGTAAAAAACCTTCCAAAATGATTCGCTGCTAAAACAACAGCCTTATAACTGGAAGAAAAAAAACAGAAAGCTCCATAAAATAAAAGGCAAAGAGTCCACAGATTATTATAACCTGCTAGCTCCATAACTGCAGAAACATAATGTTTATATGTTATTCTATGACAAGATTATTTCTTATCATTATTTATGTACTTACCCCTTCAGCCTGCTGTGGGATATTAGTTTAAGATGTGTTACATTTGTTCGTGCTATGGAATATTTGTTTAATGATGCTAGGGGACTTTCACATAGGCATTAGGGATTGAACTTGGGTCTTTCAGGCATGTGCACCAGGCACTATGTTGACCGAGCTACCACTGCAGCTCCCAAAGCATGTTAACCTTAATAACTTTAATATATGACAACCCTCATGAATGGAGTGAACAGCTGAAACACAAAGTAGATTCTGTGGCATATTTGACACATGGCATAGTTTAAATATTACATCTAAAACATAAAACTTGGGCCAGTGAGATGACTCAGAAGATAAAAGCGCTTGCCATGTGAGCCTCACAGACCGAATTTGATCCGAGAACCCAAGTTTTCAAAGCTGAATGGCGGCAGAAATCTGTGATCCTAGTACAGCTCTAGCATGACAGGAGGTGAAGACAGGAGAATCGCCTGGAAGACGAAGCAAGCCAGCTAGCCTGGAGCACATAGCTCAGTACAAACAAGAAAGAGGTCTTTCCTCAATGAGGCGGAAATACCTACTCCTGTAAGCTGCCTATGACCACCGTACATGCATGCCCAAACTCACACATTCACACACAGAAAGAATGACAGACTTAAAAAATAAAAACCTAAGAACCTTCCAGGTCACCCAAGATTCTGTGAAAGACTTCATTCATATTGTTGTTTTTTGCATGGACTGTTTTCCCTTTTAATACTTTCATTGATACCTCACTCACATTAGCTGAAAATCTAATTCAATTAGTTTCTTTGAGAAGTTGTTTTGCTACAAATTACCCTACTCCAAATGTTCCCACCCCTGCAGGAAGTCGATGGTCAACCCTGACACTAATGACATGACAGGCATTGTCATGGGCATACTTTCTGCAAGCAGAACGAATCTGAGCAAGCCTTTCTAACATTCCATAGAAGACACTTGGAATCTCTCCCATTCTGTGGGCTGCCTCTTTCTTTGATTAATAGTTTCCTTTTTCTGTACAGAAACTTGTTCATTTCATGAAGTCCCACTTGTTGATTGCTGGCCCTATTTCCTGAGTGACTGAGGTCCTATTCCGAAAGTCCTTACAGAGCCAGACCCTGAGTGTACTCCCTCTTAGAAATCTTAGAAATTCAGATCTAACAGTGAGGTCTTTGGTCTACTTGGATCTGATCTGAGTTCAGGATGAGAGGTAAGGACCAAGTTTCTTCTACCAGTAGATATGCAGTTTTGTAAAAGATGTTATCATTCCTCATCTTGTGAAAAACCAGTTGACTGTAGGTATATAGAATCTGGATTCTTAATTCTATTCTATTGATCAATATATGTCTATTTTTATGCCAGCACCATGTTATTTCAATATGAATCTGTAGTATAATTTGAAGTCAAGAATGGTGATGCCTCCAACAATGTTTTAATTGCTAAGGATGTTTAGGAAAGCCATATGGAAACCTACTACTTTTAGAAGTTTTTATAAGCATATACATATGAGTTTAATTGAAGTTATTCTACACATGGAGATAATGCTCCTCCCAGAAGCCATGAATTGCAAAAAAAAAAAAAAAAAAAAAAAAAAGTCAGTAGTGAGGATATAATAGTGGTACAAATGTTATAGTAGTAACCAACCTGGCACCAGGGAAATTTCCAGAGATCCACAAGGATGACCCAAACTAACAATCTAAGCAATAGTGGAGAGATTGCCTTAAATGCCCTTCCCTATATTGAGATAGATGACTACCTTATATGCCATCCTAGAGCCTTCATCCAGTAGCTGATGGAAGCAGAAGTAGAGATTCACAGCCAAGCACTGAGCTGAACTCCTGGAATCCAGTTGCAGAGAGGAAGGAGTGATGAGCAAAGGGGTCAAGGCCAGGCTGGAGAAACCCACAGAAACAGCTGACCTAAACAAGGGGGATCTCACGGACCCCAGACTGATAGCTAGGGATCCTGCATAAGACCGAACTAGGCCCCCTGAACGTGGATGTCAGTTTGGAGGACTGAGCAGTCTATGGGGCCTCTGGCAGTGGAACAGTATTTATCCCTAGTGCACGAACTGACATTTTGGAGCCCATTCCCTATAGAGGGATACTCTCTCAGTCTAGATACATGGGGGAGGGCCTCGGTCCTGCCCCAAATGATGTGACAGACTTTGGTGATTCCCCATGGGAGGCCTCACCCTCTCTGAGGAGTGGATGGGGGTGGGATGGGGAGATGGTGAGGGGAGTGGGAGGATGGGAGGGAGAGGGAACTGGGATTGGTATATAAAATAAGATCATTTTTCATTTAAATTAAAAATCAATAAAAAAGATTGTTTAGAATTATAAAAACATTATTTTTTAAATAAAAATAAGGTTCTAAGGGGGGTTGACACACCTTTAATCATAGCACTCTGGAGGCAGAGGCAGGAAGTTCAAGGCTAGCCTGGTTTATAAAACGAGTTCCGGGACAGCCAAGACTACATAGAGAAACCCTGTCTCGGAAAGAAAAAAAAGAAAAAAGAGTTCTAAAAAAGAAATATAAACAGGGAAAGTAGCAGTGCTGACAGGCAAAATGAAGTCCATCATCGTTGTGGCCTCAGAAGCAGGAGGACAGGCTTATGCCAGAAACACAGACTTTGACACCAGGTAAAACTCCACTCTAATGTGGAAATGCTCTTAATTCATTAACTGTTCTGTGAATTTTCTGGAGGAAACCTAAGCAAGATAATCACCTTAGGCATCATAACATGTGCCTGGAATTTCAGATCTCAGGAGGCCGAGAGGGGGTGATCACAACTTTGAGGCCTGAGGCTACCCTGAACTACATATCAAGTTCTAGGCCAGCCTGAACTTCACAGTTAGACTACAAAATAGTTAATTAATTAACCAATAATACAGCATGCCAAGCACTCCTAATATAAAATCCAAAGTCAGAACTGTTCCACATTGGGCACTGACATTATTACTAACAGAAAGTCCCATACCTAACCTCCCAGAAAACATGCAACAGGTCACAGTTCAAATACAAAAATGCTCAACACAGTATTCAAAACCTCTCAAAGGGAAAAAAGACCTTCTGAGATGCACCATTTCATGGACAATATTACCAAAACTTATTTACAAACTACCTATGTATATAAAATGCATAAATTTCAGGTGTACACTTGGAACCCATGCCCAAGACACCTTATTATACAAATACTCCAAACCTGAAAAAGCCTGAAATCTGATATGCTTCTGGTCCCAAATTTTCAGTGGCTCTCAACCTGTATTCCATTAAAACACATAAAACTGCCAGTATTCAACTACTAGTGACCTATAAAAACAATGATTTCAATATAATGCATGTATACACAACATAAAAATATAGCTTCCTCGTGCAAACTCTCTGGCAGCTATTTCCTTTGGTAGGTGTAGATATTTTCTTCCAACTACAAAGATAAGGCATGTAACATATATTACTATAAAAATAAAATGAATAATAAAAGCTAATTTAAGTGCAAAAAGCTCAGTGCCCAACAGTTATGACAAGTTAAAACTCTAGAAGACATGCAATATGAATGCCCATGCCCCCTTCCTGTGTTTTAGTTCAACTGAATGGAGAAAAAATATACCTACCCAGAAATGTTGGCCATGGAGCTGAGAGCATCGTACCCCTGAGCAATTGTGACTCTTGGAACCTGGTCCATTGCCAGAACTGTAGTTTTTTTTTCAGAAAGTTTATTTAGCAAGTCTGGATTTTGGGCGGGGTAAATGAAGCTAATGAGAGTTCCTGATGGCTTTAAAAAGTCAACTTCATGAGCGCCTAAAGCTGGATTAACCATGGGTGCTCTCACCTGAAAAAGTCAAACCACAGATTAAAACCATCAGTGCCTTCATCATGTCTTTTAAGTAAACAGAATAATTTATGTAAGACACTGCTGCTTAAATAATACTTCTGAGGTAAATCTATAAATGTCTGCCTCTACTTAACCACATGAAGATATATACTACCTACCCTGTGACTCACACCTTTTTTTTTTTTTTGGTTTTATGAGACAGGGTTTCTCTGTATTGTTTTGGAGGCTGTCAGTCCAGCCTGGCCTCGAACTCACAGAGATCCGCCTGCCTCTGCCTCCCGAGTGCTGGGATGTGACTCACATCTTAACCACGTGAAGATTTATACTGTCTACCCTGTGATTCTCATACTTAACCACACTTAAGTGTACACTACCTACTCTGTGACTCACATCTTAACCAGGTGAAGATGTACACTGCCTACCCTGTGACTCACATCTTAACCAGGTGAAGATGTATATGAAGATATATACTGCCTACCCTGTGACTAACGACCTGGGTAAACTGTTCTGAGTAAAATGCACACACTCTGGGAATGCACAGCACCAGATCAGGTGTGACACCTGCAGAGCACTGAATATTGTAAAGATTTTACAATGACCCTCATCTCCCCAAACTTACTACTCTTGTTAGAAATTAACAGATATTGGGGGGAAAGACAAAAAAAACATTTGTTTTGTGTTGGAAGACTCAATCTTAGAACTGAGTGTTGTGTGCATAGTTAATACCAGCACTGCAGAGGCCGAGGCCAGCAGCTCTCTGTGAGTGGGAGAACGGCCTAGTTTACAAATCCAGTCAGAAGCCAGCAAGGGTTACATAGGGAACCATTGTCTCAAAAAGAGAAAAAGAAAGAGACTCAATCCTCAATTCTTACTAATTTGGGAAAATATAGGGGGGAGTGAGACACAAATAATGCTGTCAACTAAAGACTCCATGGTATATATTTACATCACTCTAAATTCCATTCCTATAAATGAACACAATTCAAACCAGTAATCTCTACTGAATTAAGCTTACCCTAGCTCCGGTATACTATTATAATGACAATAAATATTTATTGTCAATATATATTGATACAGCATATTATATATGCAGTATGTGTATATATATATATATCATACATATATGAAATTATATACGTGTAAGTTTCACTATATTTGTTTTGTGTAAAATAAATATACAAAACACAGCCTGTATAATTTACATTTTAAATATAAACAAAAACACTGGTTCCATCGCTTCCTACTCTAGCATTTCATCTTAATTTACCTGACACCTTTGCCCATTATTCCTATGCCAGGTGTCGAGCTGGTGATTCATGTGACTCTGGGCTGAGAACTTTGCAGACTCTTTGAGCTACAGGTGTGATTTGGTAGAGTACTTACCTGGCATTGTGAAACCAGCAACACACACACACATGCCACGTGCACACGTGTGTATGCACACACACATAACCACCTCTTTCACAGGGTCTGTTTTTTTTCCCATAAAAATCTATTTCAGATTAAGCAAAATTAGAGGACTGCTAATTAGAGTTGATTCTACTGACCCTTGTCAACTGTGCAGCTGAGACTACCATCACCTGAGCATGTTAATCCAAGTGACTGTTTTCCTGAATGTGTTCCTCAGGACGTGAACAGGCTCCATTCAGTAGAGAGGTCTAGGTTTTCATAGTACACGTTTCTCAACACAGCCTTAGCTTGCTCATACACTTGCTTAATAACTTGTTCAATGTTAATTGAATTGCTAAGAGGAACACAGAATATTTTCAAATTCATGTAATTACTTAATATCTCTCCCTTCTCTTTTGAGATATCTCAAAAAGGTTTGGGCCCTAAAACATATTCTGAAATGGGTTGTGCTTTTTTTTTACTTTCTATAAGTTATTTTCCTACATATCAAGTGTATCATCAAGTTTATGTAAACCCAAAACTTTTTTTAAAGCTTTAGCTGAAGTGCAACTTATTTTTACACCATAAAGCCTATAAGTATAACTTTCTATAGCAAAAACTGATTTTGTGTCTTCTCAAAAATCACCCCTATCATTCTGTCAGGATGTCACTAAGTGTTAGAGCTCATGCTTAGCATGCTTGAGGACCTGAGTTCATTCTCAGCCTCGGGAATACCATTATGCTATTCATTAGAGTTGTGGGGAGGGAAGGAATACAACTATTTGAATGATTCCTCTTATGAATTAATAAAGAAAAAAGCTTATTTTTTCTATATAGAAAGTGAGTTTGCTTTAACCTAGTAATCACACTTTTCTCATCCCTATTTCTCTCCTTGCCTAAGTTGCAGATATTTAATGGTTTAAATTTAAGCCGCTACTATAGGTATCCTCAATGTTAAACTCAGTACAGCCTTTTAAATGATTTTTAAAGTTCCTCAGCACATAGATTTCCGCTGTCTGGTATCTCAAGACCATTCTTTATTCTTATTTTTTTTTTTACACGCATTGATGTTTTGCCTGCATGTGTATGCCCAGGTAAGGACGTCAGGGACTGGAGTTACAGACAGTTGTGAGCTGCCATGTGGGTGGCTGGGAATTGAATCTGGGCCCTCTGGAAGAACAATTAGTGCTCTTAACCTCTGAGCCATCTCTCGAACTTTAAAGGTCAGTTAGCCTACTGGCCACTCAACCCAATGCGACCTTCTCCAGCATGTTCACGCTGTTTCTAGAACAGCACAGTGTCAGTGTAAATAACTGCCTTCAGTCATCAGACACTGCACATAGCATCTCAGGCTGGATTAAATGTCTTCTTTTCATCTTAGCGGTATATAATCAACAGCAGGAAGTCTGCATATACATGGGCCATGCGGCAAAAAAATTTCCCTAGTCAATTAAAAGGAACTCCCACCCAGGGAATATAAAAATGAAGATCTCCATTTCCCTTCCACGGTTAAAAACTGGTCACATATCCTGGGCCATAAAGAATATTCATAGTACAGAATCATGTCATTGAGGAAAAGAGCATGATTTTAAAATAGGAAAAGCTGAACTGGGTAATGTTTAATATAATGGATATGCAAACTGCTCTGATTTGATCACTGCTACATTGTATATACATGTCAAAATATTGCAGCGCATGAACATGGACAATTATTATGTGCCAATTAAAAGCAAAGAGAAGAGCACTGAGAAACTGGAAAAGTCGGGTGTGGTGGCTTTAATTCCAACACTGGCAGAGGCAGATCTTTGTGGGTTCCAGGCCAGCCAAGGAACTATAAATGGAAGAAAGAAAGGCATAATTACTTTGACCACCAGATCAGAGGCCAGGACTTCCTTTGTCCCTTGGATTTGGGCCCCTGCTGCTCTGTAGAGATCATCTGGAAACCTGGAAGCTTCGCCTGCTCCTGATTCCACAACAACGTTAAAGCCCTGCTTGACCAGGGCCTGCACGCCAGCAGGAGACAATGCTACTCGCTTCTCATTTTGGAAAATCTCCTTGGGGACCCCAACTGTCAGCTGCTTATAGGGAATTCCTGAAAAAAAAAAAAGAAGAAACCAAAGTTTAGAAAAAGCTGAAGAGCATGTTTCAAAGGAGACATCAGGAAGTCTGTTCTTTAAAACATACTATGGACAAGTTGTTACTGAAAATAACTATTCATAATTGTGATCCATTATCTTTCTTTTGAAGGTGACAAATTTTTGTACAAACTATGCTGAATGCACTAGATATTTTATTTAATTGGATGCCTCTCTTTAAGGCACAAGTTTTCTCTATTCATAACCGAGAAATACCTGAGTTGAGACACCACACACCATGCTAACCTCCCTCCTTCACCCTTCTGGGGTTACATTCTTCCTATCCTGGCCTTTAATAAAGACAGAAATAAATTACTGCTGAATAACTTTACAATAGATACTTCACTGACTGCCATATCTCAACTCTCTTTTCTGAAAATTTGGTCAGAGGGAACTTCTCCGAGATTTCTAACTGCTGGGTTCTTGAGACTGTACCAGCAACTGATTGGGCAAGAGTTCAGCAACCAGGTCAAAGATAACCATCTATAAGTCAAACATGAGAGAAGCCAGCAGCCACTATGTATGACATGACTTACAGAGGAATAGTGGGTTCAGGACAGTCCATGTCAGCCAGTGATTAACCTACGAGGTTGGCTAGTTTTATGTCATCTTGACACAGATGGAACATTTAGGAAGAGAAAATGAGAGGGATTGAGAAAATGCCTCTGGAAGATTTGCCTGTAGACAAGTCTATAGTGTATTTTCTTGGTTGATGATATTTTATGCGGGTCGGCCCAGCTCACTGGGGGCAGTACCAGCCCTGAGCTGATTATCCTGCATAGTATGAGAAAGCAGGCTGAGCAAGTCACAAGGAGTAACCCGTAAGCAGTATCCTCCATGACCTCTGCTTCAGCTCTTGCCTCCGGGTTCCTGCTTTAAATTCCTACCCTGGCTTCTCTCAACAACGGAATGTGGCCTGAAAGTTGTAAGCTGAAATGAACCCTTTCCTCCCCAAGTTGCTTTTGGGCATGGTGTTTTTAACACAACAACAGAAAAAGGAACTAAAGTACGTACCAAAAATCATATTCTCTCCCAGGAGGCTTAAACAGAGAAGCCACAGAAAGAGACTACGAGAGTGAATATATGGAAGTTATTTGTAAATGAGGCCAATAGACAATCATCAAAGAGAAGTCATAACCGGGAAGTCCAGAGTGCCTTCTACCTCTCCAAGATGGTGAGGGATATCCTGGGCCCTCTCTTCCCCCAGTAAAACTCTCAGCACAAAATACAAGCCGATTGTGATTCCGTTCCTTACAACCCTAAAGAAAACATCTAAAACAAACATCTTTATGCAGAGTTCTGAATAGCTTTACCTCTAGGACATTAGTTTCCTCTCATTCGTTAGTCAATATGGAGCCATGAACACTTTGCAGAGCGTGGTAACACAGGGTTTCTCTGTGTAGTCCTGGCTGTCCTGGAACTCACACTGTAGACCAGGCTGGCCTCAAACACAGAGATGCACCTGCCTCTACCTCCTGAGTTCTGGAATTAAAGGCATGCGCCACCATGCCCAGTCAGTAACATATTTTTAAATAGTACAGTTCTATATAGGCTTTACTATAGTTTAAAAATCCATTCTTGCCACTGTATAACTAAAAGTTGAATCCAATTATAAATATGGAGTAACTTATTGAGACTTTAGACTGATTAAGGCAACCTGAAAATATCCACATTTGAACATAGTCTTATATTCCCACACTACTTACACACTAATAATTTACAATATACTAGAGGCAGATAAATGCTTATTTTCTACTTGAATCAGGATAAAAAAATAGGAAGTTGGCAAATATTTAGATCCCTATGTAAAATGAAGTCAGATATGCACTTCTCTGGAGTTGCCTTCTCATCTGACAACCTCAAATCTCAGCCCCACACTTGGAAAGCCAAGGCAGCTACTAAAGATGACAGAGTCGAGTCAAAAGTACTTAAAGGAGCCAGAAGTGATGATGTACACCTTTAAACCCAGCACTCAGGAGGCAGAGGTAGATGGATCTCTATGAATTCAAGGCCAGCCTGATCTACATAGTAAGTTCAAGGACAACCAGGGCTACAAAGTGAGACTCTGTTGCCAAAAAAAAAAAAAATCATGTTAAGACCCAACCTAGTGCACAGGCTGCTCTTCCAGATGACCAGGGTTCAATTACCAACATCTCCAAGATGGATCATCACTGTCTATAAACTCCAGTTCCAGGAGGTTCTCTTCTAGCCTCCATAAGCACCAGGAATGTAAGTCTGCACAGACATACATGTCGACAAAAACAGCCATAAAATAAAATGAAAAATTTTAAAAGAATGATGAAGTAGTACACTTCCAAAGACATTATAATCCATGAGCTCATGTTGAGTATCAGAAAAAAGTACTTAGTATTTTAAATGTTATTGCTCAACTTGGAGGGAATATGCAATGTGATGGGCAGAGCAACGGCTTCCCAAGGATATCCACATCCTGATCCCTACTGCCTCTGAATACATTATCCATAGCACAGGAGAATTCTGATGGCAGGTAAACTTAAGGTTGCTAATCATTTGGACTGCAGTAGGAAGAATACCCTGGGTTATCTTGAATGCTGCATGCAATCACAGGGTCCTTACATGTAAAGGAGGGAAAACAAAGAGTCCTAGTCAAGGAGCAATGAGAAGATGCTACACTGAGGCTGTCAAGATAGGACAGGGCCACAACCTGAACATCAGAGGAGCTCCCCAGAAGCTGGAGAAGTACAGGAAACAGTTCTCCCCAACAGTTCCTTGGACGTTGGCAGAACCGCCAACATTTGGACAGAGGCCCAGTGACAACTCCTTCGGACTTTGACTTCCAGAGGTTAAAAAGCCAGTAGGCTCATGATTATTTATTACATGGGGAAGGAGGGTGTTAGGAAATCAGTACATAGGGGAACCAACCGTTAGCAAAACTAATAAGTCATGGGAAAGAGCATTTTTTCATGGAGATGGAGCATTCCAGTTCCATCTCAAGACAACTAAACAACAGAGAAAATGTGTTTCTTTTATAAGAAAATTGTAGCTGATAAATGAAGAATGAAGGATTCTCACCATTTCAAAAGCCCTAATAAAATCATGAGTTGAGTTAAGGACCATCAATCAAAGCATCTGAAAGTATATGAATAGAAAAAGAGCTGACAGGTACTTCATAGCTGACAGATTGCAAAAGCAGCACCAACACTGACCAAGCATTCTTCCTGATGTAATACAATAATATACAACACCACCAGCGAGGTATTCCTGCCAGAAATGTATCCTTAAGCTGACAGAGACTTCTGGTGTAGCTGAATGTTACCAAAAAAATATGAGGACAGAAACTGATTCAGCAGAACCAATCAAGGGAACTCCATCAGTCAAATTTGGAACACTGAAATTCTACCGAGTAACAAATGTACTCTTCAACAAGCAAAGGGAGACAGGTAGGAAGGAGGGGCTGAGGATGTAACCATGTGGTCACGTACCTGGCCAGCATGTTTGAAGCCTAGGTCTGATTTCCACTAATGAAACTCTTTTATATGTCATAAGAGACATAGCAAGCAAATACAGCACATGTATTCTAGACCATTCTTTGAACAAGCCTACTGCAAAAATAGAAGCTGGGTATGGTGGCACACAACTTTAATCCAAACATTAGGGAGGCAGAGGCAAGACAACCTGATCTACATAGCAAGCTCCAGGACAGTCAGGATTATGTAGAGAGAGATCTTATCTCCAAAAAAGGGGGGGAGGGGTGGTAAGAAAGAAAAGAAGCAACTGAGAAAACAGAATACTGACTGGTAGCACAAATAATAAAAACCCACAGAAGATATTGGGGGTCAAGCTGAAGACCAGAAAGCAAAGCAGCCAACCACTAGAGTTGTTTGTTTTTTTTTTGGGGGGGAGGGTTTACAAGACAGGGTTTCTCTGTATTGTTTCGGAGGCTATCGGTCCAGCCCGGCCTCAAACTCACAGAGATCCGCCTGCCTCTGCCTCCCGAGTGCTGGGATTAAAGGCGTGCGCCACCACTGCCCGGCGAGATTTTTAATCTCTACCAAGGCTGGGGTGATCCTGTCAGTGTGGCTGGAGACTCAATGCTGCATGAGACCCTGAGCTCCTCTCTAGTGCCGGGATTAAAGGTGTGCACCACCACTGCCCAGCCTCTACAGCTAACTAGTGTGGCTGCTGGGGTTAAAGGTGTGTGCCTGGCCTCTATGGCTGTGGCTAGCTTTGCATTCTAATCTTTAGGCAAGTTTTATTAGACCATAAACAATACATCACCACACTGACTGGAATTACTTTTCATGCTTTTCAATGTGGCAATTAATATTTTATTATAGAAAAAGAATACTTTTTTAAAAAATATTTGAGAAAAAAAATTTTAAATCAGAAGTTAACATATTAATGCAGAGATCTTGATGTCTACAGACTTATTCACAAGTACAGTCCTCATTTGCTTCCATCTTATCAGCCTTATCACTAGGTAACCTGGCTTTGCAAAGCAGATTAAAGGAAAGTTTTTGAAGATAAACTTGGGAAAAGGTGCGATGCCAACAGTGATTTATCAATTGAGAACACGGAGAGTGGCTACAAAGTCTATTCAAGGTAACAGAGCTCCTTGGTAACTAGACAACAGCCCTGCAAGCCTTAAGAGGGAGAATAAATATCCACGCCATTCTTTCATCTTAGGAATTAAATGCCATTCTTAGCTGGGCATAATGCCATCTGGAATAAAAACTAAATGTCTAAGTCTTACTAACAAACGTCCACATGCTTAAGGTCTGTCCAATGAGTGGCAGTGTTGCCGGGACAGTCCTTGGGAAGACTGCTACGAGAGAAGTGACTCAGCTTAGAAGGTGACCCCTTGAGCCTCTCCTCCATCCGGCCTGCACCTAGAACAGAAACAAGGGAGACTTCTCCTATCCGAGAAGACCTGATGGGCCGCTGGAAACTTTCACTGCTGTTCTCTGAGAGCCAAGCAGACAGTAGTGGTTTTGAAGAAAGGACTGGTGTGCTCTTACGGTTTTAAAAGGGCATGTACATTATCATGTGCAGGACGAACAGGAGGAGGGCAGAGACAATTTAGGAAACTCATCCATCACTTCAGTGGCAGAGAATGATGGTTTGAACCCAAGTGATAAAAGTGGTAACGGTGAAGCTGGAGAGATGGTTCAGAGGTTAAGAGTGATTGCTGCTCTTCCAAGACACCAACAAAACTGCCTGTAACTCCAGCTCCAGGGGACCAAACACCACTTCTGGTCTCAGAGGATACCTGTCCATGTGTCCAAAGACACACTGACATATAGATAGATAGATAGATAGATAGATAGATAGATAGATAGATAGATAGATAGATAGATACAAAAACAAAGCTCAATAGTAGCTATTAACAGCATTAGGAGGGCTAACACTTCTGACATGAACTACGGTGAGGTTCCAAATAAAGGACCATTCTTGTAGATGAGTTAATACACTTCACTGCTAACTCCTGAGCAGAGGTGAACTATATATATGGTACAATTCCCCAATCCCTTCTAGGAACAAAGGAAGGCTGCTAGGAGAAATGGTTACTATGAGCAAAAGGCTCCCAAATACAATACAACCAGTTAACCCTTTTTCCCATTATTTTTATCTTCTCTGTTAGCAATGGCAATGGAATTTCTATAAGTGGAAAATATGAAGAAAAAAAACAATGCTCATTTTGTCTGTGTATAATGATCACTCACAAGTACCAGGTCATAAAAACATAATGATTTTCCTTGCATGTATCATCGAGGACTTGAAGCAAACAGTGAAGTAAATTTTTACCTGGCTTTACAGGTGATTTACACCACAATGCCTGATGAACATGAAATGTTCGTAAAAAGTCTTTCTTCCCAGGTAGAACCTTACAGGACCCGAAGTTGCTAAGGAAAGGACATGAACAGCCAGTCACCACCGTTTTCAGTAGCTGCGCCATGTTGCTTTGTGCTCCCAGCTTTCCAAATCACTGATTCTTTGAAGGTGAACTACTAAAAAGAAAGGAAAGAAATGTTTATACACCTAGAAAAAACTACCTTGCCATTTGAGCATGATAAGCTATACAAATGGCCCATCTAAAGGGTCTGCATCTGGGAAACATTTGTATGCCGCCATCTACAAAGATTTGGTTGTCAAGTCTTTTAGTTGTAGATAACACTTCAAAAGTTGTTTTGAATTCGGCTGTTAATATTTGAAATCCATTTCCTACCTAAAATTAGGATTATAAATTTGGCATCAGATTCTAAGCCTGAGTCACCTAAGTATGTGTGTGTGTGTGTGTGTGTGTGTGTGTATGTTATAGAGTTTTTATATATATACACACACCTACAGAGCTAAGCCACATCTTACACTAAAGTTATCTTCTAAGTCAACATACTTTCCAAAAAGTTACATATAATCAAGTTACGTTTGAATTTCCCCTAAGTTATCTGAAAAAACACTGTTAGGCACTAAGTCACACAAAACACATTGCCATCCTATCCACTGCAATAAAATACTTAGTTCTGCCGGTAGGATCTCCTGATCCATGCCTAAATGAACATGATATTCATGTTTACCTCTCAAGAAAATAAATATGCATAGCATAAGACTCAAAAAAATCTCATAATATCTTTACTACCTCAGGCTGTGCTTGCAGATGTGCATATAACTGTGAACTCTTTTGGAAGTGGTTCTCAACAGTGGCCAGTATTATTTGCAAATAAAGTTTATTTAGCCAAAATGTGGCCACTTATTACCAATCCTAACAGACCCAGCTGAAGTATCACTTTGTTGTTGTATCTTCAGCACCTTTGCCCCGTTTGACAGATCACCAGAGGCACACAGAAGGCATTTCTACACTCTCCACGTTCCTCTACATTTCTCTTTGCCTCAAGAATGGGAAGACGCAGAGGGTCCAAAGCCTGTCAGTCAAAGCTGGATAATATTACCCGCTACACCTATAGGTGCTGATCCAGGTCATGGATTCTCACTGGGCCAACCATCCGATCCAAACTGGCTCTACAAGCACTCTTCCAGGCATCAGAGAAGTATTAGCTCATTTTAAATCTCAGAGCTGTTACTATAACTTCCTAAATAAATTTCTTTAAAACACCTAGAGAGCACACTGATGACAGGAATTGTCAATCCAGGGTTTGCTTATTAATTAGATGCCCTTTAATTCAACAAATGTGGCCCAAGGACAGAATCTCAGAGGCCCTTTCTCTTCTTGGGTCATCCCATGTCCCTGTAACCACTGTTACTGGGTGTGTTAGCAAAACTTCCCCAGACTTTATCAGCAAATCAATGACACTGGCCTTAATGGAGCCCTGCACGACCCAAGTCTGCCACTTTCTGATTGTTTAACCTGAACTACTTTGGGCATCAACCCATTAGCCAATAAAAGTGGTAGAAAACTGCAGTTTGCTAAGGTCCCTTTAGACTCTAGAAAATCCATGATTGTCTTGTCTACTTGGAAAATAATAATTTGGTGTTGAACAGATCTCTAATAGGGGCACCATATATCAGGAGCCCAATTTTAAGTAAACAAAAAGTTATTCAGGACTTATATATATAAAGCAAATATGAGGAGGTTGTTTATTGGCAAGAAAAATCCAGCACATTTGCCCTAATTTAAATATAAATGGTTCTGAAAGGGATTCAGAAAATATCTGAACCATTTCATCATGGCTAATTCATATTTATTCCAAAAGTGTCACATTTTTCCCATTTCTTCACTTCAAAATCTCAGTTACCTGATCTTCCATATACTTCTCAAGCCTTGATTCAATATTGGGATAATTTTGTAACTCAAAGCTTAAAAGAATAAAGCACCTGCTTTTTATAGCATTCATAAAGCTTCATAATGTAAGTTATAAGGATAACTGCCTCCCCAGTAGGGTGTGTGTGTGTGTGTGTGTGTATGTGTGTATGTGTGTGTGTTGTGTATAGAACCCAGGACCTTACACTTACTAAGAAAGTACAGCACCACTGAACTACATCTTCAGCCTTCCCCAAACAAATGTTAAAACAAGCAGCTGACCTAGCAAAAGAAGACAGCATAGAGGACTACAAGTATGAACTCTGGGTTGGAAGCCCCTTCTGCAATTACAGGAGTGACCTTCTTGAATCACCCAGTTTCTCTGTACCTGATTTCCTTGTCTTTAAGGTCAGAATAATAGTAAAGACTTACCTCATAGAATTACGAAGATTAAAGCAAAATGCCCTGATCACAGGGTTGTGGAGATAATTTAAAAAACACAAACTCCTGATTGGTTGTTCTACTCACAGCTATTATCCTTCACCCAGTGCCTTGCACTAAACAGAGTAAGTCAATTAATATTTTTAACTGAACGCTTAAATGACCACACTGAGGATCCCGGAGTCATTTTGCAATAGATTTCTGAAACAGAGTTTCAGAACTTTTCCTTTGAAAACAAAATGTTTGTGCAGCCTTGTAGAAAACAGATCCCATCAGCAAATATAAACTAATTGCCGATACTAGGATAATCGTAAACTGTCCTTGTAATAAACAAAAACGAAAAAAAAGAAAAGAAAATGGATGGAGCTTATTGGTGGCTCATAGTTGTAGATGCCTGCACTGGAGAGGTTAAGGCAGGGGAATCAATCAACTCAAGTTTAGAGCTAGCCTGGGCTATACATAGAGTTTCAAGCCGGTCAAAGCTACAGACTGAGATCTTCTTCGTCTCAAAATAAAAAAATAGGATAAGAATACTAAAATAAGGACAGAAAAATAACTGACATTTACCCAAAAAAGGGGGTTCAGTGGGCAAGCAAGCCCCATCCTTCTAGACAAAGTTTCCTAATGACTGCACACCGCCACAGGACAAATAAAGGGCGCCGGCAAGCACAAAGTCATGCTTCTTAAAGCTAGGCGTACCAACAAGGACACAGTACCCTACCCTGGCAGGCAGCATGACCTCGTCCCAAGCCACGAGTGCCACAGCCCCTGTCACAGGTGGTGCCCCTCCCTCAGCAACTAAACTGCCACCCGCTGGCACGTGCAACTGGACAGCTATTTATAACCTGCTGTGGAAGCCCATTGGCTCTGACTACATAGTAGCCATTGTCCTTCTCAAGTTTGAACCAGCTCTGCCCAGGCCTATACCCCCACCCCACTCTCCTGTGTCGCCAATCCAAGGCCCTCCCCGCCTTGTAGAAACTGGCACCCCACTAGCACCGCTCAACCCCGACCTACACTCACACCTTTTCTTATGTACCCAACTGGGCACCCTCAAGGTTCAAGTACAACTTGCCATTCTTCTAGGTCCACCACCCATCAAAAGTCCTCTATGACCTCTCTTCCGATCCCTCTTTAGGCCAAATAGCCGTATACAACTTTTGCAGCCCTTGCCTCCACCCTCACCCCAGGACCCAAGATCTGCACCTGAACAGCTGTCGTCGTGGCCTGCCCTCTGCCGGGACCCTGCTCCCACATCCACCCTCCCACACACACACACACACACACACACACACACACACAGGGCCGCGAGGCACAGCATTCCTTCTCCGCCTGCCTGTCTCCTGCAGGAGCCTTTGCAGCCCATTTGCTAGACTCTGCCGACCCCGCCCCCCCTTCTGCTCTCTGACAGGTCCCCTTCGCCACCGGACCTGGGGTCAGCGTTGGCTGCCCTCCTTCTCCAGCAGCCCCCAAGCGCTGCAGGGCCGGTTGGCTCACCTGGACCAGCAGGCGAGACAGCTGGTGACCCCAGGCTGCGAGCAAATGGCACGCTGCACTGGCAGACCCGGGCTCGGCCCGCGGCGCTGCGCCTCCAACCCGGAAGAACAGCCCCAACCCTGAGGCGGCAGCGACGACCACGTGACACAGCACTGCCCCCACCCGGACCCGTGCCCCCTTCGGCACCCCCCCTCCACCTCCCCCTGCCTCCTGCCATGCCGGCTTCGCTCGATCACCCGCCCTCCCCTGCAAAGGAGAAAGAGACGTCACCAAACGCACCCTTAGAGCGCAGCAGCCGGTAAGGGTCCTTCCTCTCCGGGTGACCGCTGAAGCCCCTTTGTCTCAACCGGGGCCCTTGGCCCGCAGCCCCGCCCCCCCCTGCTCTTGCTCAATCGGCCTCTTGTCAATCAAACCTGGTGCCAAGCACAGCAAAAAAGTTTTTAGGAATTCATGCCTCTTCTGCCCCTGGAGACTGAGTTACAAAGCTTGATTTCCTCACCCAGGTCCCAGAAGAACAAATAAGTGGATACTCTAACTCCACTCTTGGTGCCGGACTTTCGTCTAGCTCTCTAGGAAAAAAAAATCCAAACTTCTGTAACTGGAGAGGACTTAAGCGGGAGGAAGCCGAGGGCGGGAATGGGGGCGTTGTTTTTCCATTCTGGACGGGAGGTGGGGTTAAATTCCTCACCAACGAAGTCAAGGCCTGAAAATGAGCACACATGTGCGTATTTGGCTTTAACAACGAAGCCAGCCAAGAGGAAACCCTGTGTTACTGTTAATATAGGCAGCGTCTGGAATGTACCGGTAGTTGACTCTGTCCCGCGTTCCTGATTAGCTGAATTCAAAACATAACGACCTAGTCAGTAGTTAGTGATTAGGGTCTGTTACTTGTTCTGCAGGTGCATTCTGATTAAACTTATTAAACGCTGAATCGACAAGAAATATCAGTGTAATGTTGGTGGGAGCTTTTTAACTAAAATATTTAACAGCCAGAAGAAAAAATAGGTATTCCGTAACTTTAAAAAAAGTAACAACCCTCAGAGAAACACTTTGAGAATGTGTCTTGTATGCCTACCGCACAAAAGAGTCATTGGACAAATGAGTCTCGACTGTAGTCCAAAGTCAAATCGGCCAGTGATGGAAGAACTAGAAGGTAGGAGAGGACTCCGCCTCGTGTTTTAAAATAAGAATCATAAATCAACAGGTAGAGATACTGTGGGTACTATGAGGCAAGAGCGGAAAACTTTAAACTCTTTTGTTCCGGGGACTACCGCTCAGTGTGGTAGGGTGTTCATATGCAAGGCTCTTCTACAACCAGCAAATCTAGCCTTCAAAGACATCTGCCTTCATGTTCCCTTTTGTTTTTTTAATTGCTTTCTTAGTATTTTTTTTCATACTCCTTCCCTTCATTTTGAGTAACACCCTCCTGTCCTGTTCCTTCCTCCACTCTGCCCCCCATCTCCCTCTTGGAACTGTCCCACAAGCAATATTTCCCACCTTCATTTTACCAAATGTTCTATCATCCCTCCGTCCTTGGGGGAACTCCCCACCCCACTGGCTGCCTTAGTTTCCTGGCTCCCTGAGGTTCTCCAAGTTAAACACACAGAACTAAAGAATTGAGGATAGGATCTGCATATGAGAGAAAACATACAGCATTTGCCTTGGGTTACCTTGCTCAGTATATTTCCAGTTTCACCCATTTAACTGCAAGTTTCATAATTTTATTTTCCTTAACAGCTGAATAAACTTACATTCTGCACGTGTACCACATTTCACTGTCTGTTCCTCAACTGATGCGCATCTAGACTGATTCCACTTCCCGGCTTTTGTGTATAGTGCCATGGTGACCGTGGATGTGCAAGTGTCCCTGTAGTAGGATACAGATTCCTTAGACAGGGTTCTGTTGCTGTGAACAGACGCCATGGCCTCTAAGAGAAAGCATGGAATTGGGGTTTGCTTAGTTTTGGAGGGTTAATCCTTACCATCATAGCCGGGAGCACCCTGGCAGGAAGGCAGAAGTTACTGAGAGTTCTAGGTCCAGATCTGCAGGCAGCTGGAAGAGCCAGATACTGGGCCTGTTCTGAGCTTTTGAAACCCCCAAACCTAGCCCAGAGACTCTAACAAGGCCATACCTACTCCAAAGAGGCCACACCCCCAATCCCTTTCAAGTAGCATGCCTCCCTAATAACCAAGCAAGCATTCAAATACATGAACCTATGGGGACCATTTCTATTCAAACAACCACACTTATATGCCCAGGGGTGGTATGGCTGGGTCATATTTCTAGTTTAGAGGAAATTCCAGATGGATTTCAAAAGTGATCGCACTAGCTTATATTCCCATCAGTAGTGTTTTATAAGGTTCCCATTCCCCCACATCCGCAGCAGCATTTGTTACCATTCGGGTACATATAAATGTAAATCCTGTGAAACTGTGGAGACCTCTATGCCAACAAGGGTTTAAAGGTAGTATTATCTTCTAGAAAATCTATCCGATTCACAGCATACCATTACCATCAACTTTAAAGCCAGAAAACCAAAGAGGTACCTAATACTCAAAAGTGTAAACTGAAGCTGCGAAGATGTGCTGTTAATTAAACACTGAACTCTAAGACCAGTCTGGGATGCATGAGACCCTGTCTGAAAAAGAAACTTAAATAAATACTGAGCTCCAGTGATAACTTGTTACCAAGATCTGACATCTAGTTGAAGCCAGGCCAAAAATAAAAAATAGCTAATATAATGTATTTTTATCACGGTTACTATTTTTGTCAGTGGCTTGCTATTTCAAGTTTCCCTTTCATGAATATAGTGGACAATCCGGGTATGCATGGTTCATATGTGTAATCCCAGCACTTGGGAGGCTAAAGCAAGAGGAGTGCCCCAAATTAGCTTTGGCTACATAGTGAGTACTGGGCCAGGCAGCCGGTCAAAAAGACCTGTCAAAAAAACAGTGATTATTATTCTTGGCTAATTGAAAGGCTCCGTGAGATAAACATCTTAGTTGATAATATCTAACAATCATGAACTTGGCAGGTTTAAGACAACCATCTTTAGGGCTGAGAGTGTGGCTCAAAGTACTTGCCAAAAGAGGCAAGATGTCGAAATTAATTCAGTTTTAGGACGACCCATCAAGAGTGTTTGACCTCAGGAAATAAATATATTCATGAACTAACTAAACTGCTACTAATCAATATTAACTGAAGAAAACTGACACCAAACAGCCAATACAATGTCAACTGACAAGTTCATCTATGAAGTAAATGCACCTGCATTAGGAATCACTGTGAGGGCCGGGCGGTGGTGGTGCATGCCTTTAATCCCAGCACTCGGGAGGCAGGGGCAGGCGGATCTCTGTGAGTTCGAAGGCCGGGCTGGATCGATAGCCTCCAAAACAATACAGAGAAACCCTGTCTCGTAAAAACCAAAAAAAAAAAAAAAAAAAAGGAATCACTGTGAGCATCCACAAACCTAACTTTTGCTGCTTAAGGTGGCATCAGCTCCTGGGGAGTCTGAGGCAAGGGTCTACCTTGAGCCTAGGAACTGGAGATGGGCCAGAGCAACATAGCATGGCTGGGCCTCTTAAAATAAAAGCACTAATTGAACAGACTTGTGTGATAAGTGCTAACTATACAAATCTTTGCCAGGTGGTAATGGCACACACCTTTAATCCCAGCACTCAGGAGGCAGAGGCAGGCAGTTCTCAGTGAGTTCAAGGCCAGCCTGATTTACAGAGTGAGTTCCATGACAGCTAGGGCTACACAGAGAAACCCTGTCTCGAAAGACAATAACAAACAAACTAGAAAAATTGTATCTTTGGGGACCTGAAAAACAATAAAGGATAGAGTCTGTTAGCATCCTTGTAACAAATTACCATGAAGGAGCTCAAGCTAGGCTACCCTGAAATGTTTCTTTAGCATATTACTCTCCAGAGAGACTGCAGACAGAAGGAAGGCCACTCCTTTTGAGGTAGTTCTAGTCAGAGTAAAAGGCAGATGCACACAGGCTTTCCTGGGCACCACATACCAACCAAAGAACTTTCCACAAGAGGAAGAAACTGGGGATCTGACACCAGCCCAGACAGGGACTGACAAATGTGACTGCTGAAGACCAACGACAACATGTTACCTTTGAGGCCTGACCAGTCTGATAACATGACCGTTAGTTGGGTGCTTTTTCAGCATTAGCTCAAAATGCTACTTAAGCTTTGCTTCTCCTGCCTTCCTTTGAGTTTCATTCAAACTTGCAGCATACGCCTTCAAAACCATAAAATGTCTTTAAAAAGCAGCAAAGAGTCCCCAAGCTAGTCATGGTGACCTCACACCTGAAATCCAAGCACTGAGGAGGCTGCAGCAGAAAGAATCCCATGAATTCAAAACCAGCCTGGAGCTACATACTGACTTCCAGGCATAAAAGCCTGTCTCAGGCTGGAGGGATAGCTCAGCTGTTAAAGGCTAGGCTCACCACCAAAATAAAAGCCTGTTTTGAAAAACTAATTTTAAAGGTATGGATTAAATAGGACTAGCCCTAGACTTATGTGTTTGAAGCTTGGCCCACAGGGAGTGGCACTATTTGGAGGTATGGCCTTGTTGGAGTAGGTGTGGCCTTGTTGGAGGAAGTGTGTTATTGTGGGTGATCTGTGGGGTATTATATGCTCCAGCTGGGCCTAGTGTGACAGTCTCCTGCTGCTGCCTGTGGATCAAGATGTAGAACTCTTACCTCCTGATCCATGATGATAATGGGCAAAACCTCTGAAACTTATAGCCATCCAATTAAATGCTTTCCTTTATAAGAGCTGTGATGGTCGTGGTGTCTCTTCACAGAGATAGAAACCCTAAGATAAAATTGTAGGTGAGAGACTAAGCATACAGTTCCATATAACCCAGCAGTTATTATACTTCTGAGCATTTATTCCAGAGAAATAAGAATGTATTCTCTCACCAAAACCTAAACATGAAAGTTGGTAGTAATTCAATCTAGATGTTTCTAGTGATTAGTGAATGGCTAAATGGACTATACTACCTGGGAGACCATTGTACATGACTATTATGAAATACTACTGAAAAAGGAAGACATAACTTGGATGAATTTCAAATATACTAAAAGGAAGAAAGCCAATCTCAAAGGTTATATAACATGGGATTCCATTTATACAACATTCTTGAAAATACACAATTATGGAAATTGATTAATTGATTAATGGTGACCAGGGTTTAAAGAAGGGGTGGGTATGGGAGAAGTAGATTGACTACGAACAGGTAGCCAAGGGATTCCCGTGGTACTGGAGATGTCCTGCAGTATCACTGTACCAATGACAGACAATACCTTAGCTGTGAAACTGTCCTATAGCTTTGCAGGATGCTAATATCGAGAGAATCCAGGAAACAAGTGCAGAGATTTTATCTTTTAAGCCATACAATTTCATGGAAATCTATGACTACCTTGAAGTAAAGATGTTTAATTGAAAAACTAAGTCTACAAGGTATAGTTAAGTATTAATGGTAGGCCGGGCGTTGGTGGCGCACACCTTTAATCCCAGTACTCGGGAGGCAGAGGCAGGCGGATCTCTGTGAGTTCGAGGCCAGGCTCGACCGACAGCCTCCAAAACAGAGAA